GTTGATATGGAACCATGCATGAATCAAGGTCCTTTATGTGAGCTTTGATGAACAAAAATGGATGTTGGACTCCCATAAGACATGCTAAGGCATAAAGTTGCCAACTTTATACCCTAGGACCCCCTTAATGACCGAGATCCAGAATTTAGATTAAGTGGTTGTATGGATTAAGCACCAAATGGATAATGGTGCTTAGCAGCTCATTCCGATAAGTGTACGAGGATGTACACAACGCATACTACATGGCGGTCGAGTACGCCAGGCGTACTGAGATTACGCCGTGCGTACGCCCCCAATGGGCTTTTAGACTTTTGTTGGGCTTTTGGGTTATTGGGCCTTAGTTGGTTTTGGGCCTTGACCTGTTTAGAGTAGGTGGGCCTTTGACTTCTGCTAATGGGCCTTAAGTGGTGTAGTTGGGCCTTTGTGGGCCTTGGAGTCTGTTATTTCGTTTGGGCCAAGAATGGTTAGGACCATTATGGGAAAGGAAATTGGGCCCTTATCTTAGGAGTTTGGACTTAGGGTTTAGGCCCATGATTTGGGATTATGACCTAATTCTGATTAGGGCTATTTTTTATAGTATGGGAATTTCCTGTTCAGCAGCCGAGCGTCTTGTGTTTCTAGCAGACTGAGGTGAGTTTTCTCAATGTATCAATGGGTCGAAGGCACCAAGGCCGACCCATTATTTGTATTATAGGATACGAATTATTTGTGTGATATGTGTATGAAAGACCAGGGTTTGGCCCCTGGCATTTATATGAAAGACCAGTATGTGGCCCCTGGCACCTGTATGAAAGACCAGGATCCGACCCCTAACAGTTGCATGAAAGGCAAGGATTTTGCCCCTGACAATTGTATGGAAGACTGAGATTTGGCCCTCGGCAAGAATTATATCTAAGACTATGATTTGGCCCATAACATTAATTTGTATGTTGGTATATGGTACTTTAGGGAAAACTTACTAAGCGTTTGCTTACAGATTGTGTTTATGGTTTCAGCCTTTCAGGTACTTCCGGTACTAAGGGGAAGGGCCCGACGTGATATCACAACATTCTCTCCTGTTATTTCCGCATTTTTTATATTGTACTTTCATGATGTGACATTTATACATTGTGACGGTTTTGGAACAATTTTTATATTTATAGTACTGGTTTTAAAAATGAAAAATTTTATTCTGGTTTTGGGATGTTACATGCATACAGAACCTTCAGCATGACTGGACCGCCTCACCGAGCCTTCAGCCTTGCCGGACCGCTCTTTGGGACTTCGTCCTGACTGGATTGCCTCACAGGCCTTCAATCTATCCGGACCGTGCTGGGTGTCTTGGCCTTCAGTATCAGGTGGTCTGCCTCAACCCAATAAACCATAACCATAACATATCAATATAAACATTATCACAATAATCAGCAACATAGCAAGTCCTATAGATCTACCAGTCTAATCACATAACCAGTAAACACATATCTCACCATAACAAGATACAATAACCAGGATATCCAATCCAATAGGCTGCCATTTGTGCCTTCGACCCATACTTACAGTGAGGAAAACTTACCTCTCAGTCCGAATACGGTCTAAATAAATCCCTACTCCGAAAATCGGCTCCACCGACTCTTAATAATCAAAACTTTTCCGATTCTAGATTAATAACAATTTCCCAAAATACCCTTGGTCAAAATCAGTCAAAATCAACAAAATCAGCCGAGTCAACCCTGCCAAGTCAACTCAGCCGAGTCGACCCAGACCACATACGCGGGGCGTACTTCGGATGTACGCGGAGCGTACTCACTGTCCAAGGAGTCGGGGCTCAATCTGCGTACGCGCGGCGTACCAATTGGTACACTCAACGTACGCAACTGATTCTCCACTTAATGAGTTAAGAGCTTATTACTTAAGCTATCACGACCAAATTGCAGATCCAAGTCCCAAATATCATCCTTGACCATAAAGTTTTCAACTTTATTGTCTTGCATGGACAATAAGTTCTAAATGCTAAAAACCCCATCCTCTTAACCCATTAAGAAAAACAAACACATGCATGGAGAAGGATTAAGAGCCAAAACCCTATTTTTATGCTTCTAACCCCTCAAAACATGTGAAAGGACAGCTAGAATGGACTAAAGCATGCCATACTCTAAAAAGGTTAAGACTTGGGACAATATTCTCATGAATCACGAACTTAGCAAGATCTAAGGAAATACAAGCCATGTTTGAAACTTTATACCTCTTGGAGGTTGCTAGAGAGGTGAAGATCCCAGATCCAAAGCTTCTTCAAGTTCCCAAGGTGGTTTTACTTCCTTCTTTCTCCTTCAAGATCACCAATCAGACACACAAGGGTCAAGAATGCTCAAACAAGTGGCTAGAGTTTTCTAAAATCGAATGAAGGTGTTGGAGGTTGATGAAAGATGAGGTTGGAGGCCATAAAGATGTTTAAATAGGGTCCAAACCCTAAAATTTAGGGTTTGAGAACCTCGCACGTACGCCATGCGTACGCAATGTACGCCCTGCGTACTAAACCCTCGCATGTATGCCCAACGTACTAGACCTCGGCCTGAAATTACAAAAATGCCACTATGGGCCATTTTGCAAGATTTCTCATACACAATGGCTAAATACCATAACTTTCATACTTAAGGGTTAAATCTGGAAATACCTCATCATCGGGATGTTACATTATACTTTTCTAAAAATCGTATCTCCTTCATACGAACTCCGTTTTTGACCTTTTTTCCTTTTCAAAGTCCTTATATCTTAGAGTACTACGATTTTCCTTTTTGTGACGTTAGCCGAAACTCAACCGATCTCTTTATGTCATTTTGACGTTAATAGTGTTTATTAACACGGTTGGTTTTTATCTTTTTATAAAATCACAACTCTCCAATCGGAGTTAGATTTTTGCAACGCTTATATCTTTGGGACCATTTTGTTGTGTACTTTCCAAATACGCTAATCATCATAAAAAGTGATATAACTTTTTGGCCACTCATTTTTGACCATATTATCATTATTTAACTGATCATATTTTCCTTCAATATGAGAAATTATATCATTATCATCGGTTGATGCTAATCTTTAGAGACAATTGGTGATGTGAAATTCCTAATTGTTACATATGGGTTACTCCAGACCATTTGAGTGCCTCCTTATGATGTTTATGAAGTTATTGAGTCATAAAATGAGAGCTTGGTAACTCTCATTCATCCATGCATGACTTCTTAAGCCATGGATAACTTTATGGACCTAGGTTTTGGTATTATACTCTTTGTGACCATGAAAATGGATAAAGTCAGAGACTTTATCCATTAATACGTTCATTTAGATCATATTTGGGAGTTTGAGAGTTTGGCTTGTTGTATTAAGAGCTTAATAGAAGTTTTTGGGATCAGGGGCACTACTCAGGGCGTAATCTAAGTACGCATGTCGTAGCTCTACGCAGGGCGTAAGTCAACTGAGCGCTGACCATTGACTTTTTGGCCAGTTTGACTTTTGGACTAAATATTGGAAGGGAAAAATGGTCTTTTGCCGAAAGGAGGTTTAATTGTGAGCATAGACCTTTCGTGGGTTAGTCTTTCCTTAATTGTTAATTAGGTTTTTAATATGGATATGTTTAGCAAGAGGTGGCTTGATATCGTCGGCTCGAGTGAGTGGTTTATATTGTCTTCAGGATTGAGGTGATTCTCTTCACTGTACTCGTGGGTCGAAGACACCAATGTCGGCCCACTGTATTATGTTTGTAAGATGCTAGCTGTCTTTGTGACTCTTGCATGTGTATGTATGGTTTATATAGGTGGGACTCGATTATGTATGTTTTATATGAGTGGGGCCCGATTATTTGGGTTGGGCCTGAATACGTGGGTTGGGCCTGAAGCATGTATGTTGGGTTGGGCTCGTTACTTGTATGGTATGTGGTCTTTTGGGGAACTCACTAAGCTTTGTGCTTACGGTTTTTGATTTAACATTTTGCAGGTACTTCCAGTTTCAAAATGAAGGGCCTGGTTTGACTGCATAACATCCCCTGATGGCTTTTCCGCATTGATTATATTTGTTTTACTCTAATGTTTGAGAAATACAATTCATTCTTTTGGTTTTGGAACAAATTGTTGTATGAGATTAATGGTTTAAAAAAAATATCAGTATTTTTTGGACGTTAAAAATTATCGACCCAACCTGTAACCCAACACGAACCGATACGAAAATAAACGGGTTTGGGTTGAGAATTATGACCCGCCAACCCACCAACTCGTTTATTTCATGGGTTGGGTTGGGTTGGGTTGGGTTAGTTATTTGGGTTCGCGGGTCAACCCGCCAACCCGACTATATATATATATATATATTGTATTTAAAAAAAAAAGTTATATATAAATCAATGGAATATATGACACAATTGCTGTTTTCATGAATGCTTTTATTTTCATTTGGATGTTTATGAGTCTACGTTGGAAACTTTTTTTTTTCAAATTATTGCTTATTAAGTTGTTGTGTTAGATTCATATTTGGTTGATCATTTGATTCTAGTAAATATAAAATGTTAATTATTAATTAATTTAAATACGTGTATAATTTGTATAAATTTAACATGTGAAAAGTTACACGAAAATGACTCACTGACCCGCGAACCTACAAAGTCATATACTTAAACAAGTTATGTGAATTGGGTTGGATTGATGTTTTCAATCCACCAACCCGTAGCCCGCTAACCCATATATTATATGGGTTGAGTTGGGTCAATTTATTCTAAACAGTCAACCTGAACCCAACCCAATTACAAGACCTAAGATTAACCTTTCATTTTAAATATCTCAATGTTAACTTTAGAAAAAACTCTCATCTACATACAAATACTTGTTATTGACCAATTTTATACATACAAAATATTTAATTACCATCATTAATATTAACCTTTGATGAAATACAATTGATTATGAAAATACTAGAAATTGATGTTTAAGATTTTAAATTTTAAATTAAAGTACATGTTTCTATATCCATCTTTCTTTTGGCAAATGCGGTAAGTGGTTGAAATTAAAGTAAATTAGTTTTGCTATTTAGAGGAAGGTTATAGTTTCCTTTTCCTGGAACCCACACAAGCACACACATACACGGATATCCACACACCACCGTCCACCACTTTTTTTTTTCTCTCTCTCTCTCTTCTTTTATTGGCTACGAGACTCTTCATCACTGTTGTCTCCAAGAATCCACCCCAAATCCATCTTCTTCCTTCCAGAAAAGGTAAAGAAAAACCCACCAAAATCTTGATTTCTTTGCCCTAATGGAGATCAAAGTAAAAGAAAAGATGTTGGTGTCGTTGATTTTTCGTGGGGGGTTCTTTTAGATCTAACAACTTCAAAAATTGGCTTTTCATGTGGTTTGGTCTCTTTTTAATTTCAGAAATTTGTGTTCTTTCGTGTTGCAGAAGGGTTATCCATGGCGAGAGAGAAGATAAAAATAAGAAAGATCGATAATATAACTGCAAGGCAGGTGACTTTTTCCAAAAGAAGAAGAGGGCTTCTGAAGAAAGCTGAAGAACTTGCGGTACTTTGTGACGCCGACGTCGCTTTGGTCATCTTCTCCGCCACCGGAAAACTGTTTGAGTATGCTAGTTCCAGGTACTGTATGTCTTTTTTATTGTATGGGTATATACGTGTGCTTTTAAACCCTATATGCCTATATCACATAAAGTTTCTACTTATAGAAATACCAAGATTTGTGTTTCCATTCATGCAATCTCATTTTTTCCTCTTTGGGGTGGTGGTTGTGTGTGCGGACTGTAGAAGAGGGTACATTTAGGGTTCTGATTTTTACTCTTAGAAACTGCTAGGATTATCAAGTCGAACCATTCTTAACTTTATAAGATCAAGTTATATAGGTTTCGCATACTTAATATAAATCACATAGTGCTGATGTATAGAGATCGTTTATTTTAGATAACTTGATGTTAATTTTTTATGATATATCGAAAGTTTTGGGTTTGTAGTCAAACTTTTTTCTTTCAATTAGTTTTTACATTGAAATACATCTCTATGATGGTGGGAGTTTGTTTTCCCGGTTGTTTTCTCTTTCTTGTTTATAAGCATTTTATAATTGAACCGTGAATATGACGACTAATTAAAAACTCATTCACTCCCAGAAAACTAATAAAATAATTTGCAAACATTATAATCAGTTGCCGTGATCAAATTTTAATGTTTAATAAGTACGCCATGACCTTCTAATTTATTGGAGGATACAAAAAAGTGACAACGAAGTGTAAGTGAAGTTGCTTACTTTTGTTTGTACTATCTGATAATTATTATTCCCACATTTAAAAGATAATTTGACGTCAAGATAAACAAAGGGGATAAACAATCATTTATAATTGAATTTCAAAAATGTGTATACATGGATTATACTATAAAATGCACACAATGATTTCTTACGTTTTCATGATGTAAAAGCTCGATTGTAGTTTGATACGCATATCATTTTCCTTTTTAATAAGTTTCAGGAATCACGAGAAATATTCTTTCTCCACTATTGTTTGCTAGTTTAATAATATTTTCGTTCATAGAAACTTAAACAAAGCCAAAGATTAAACCCTAAGTCTTAGTGGTATTGTAAATCATGCATCGTGTCTTCTTAAACCGACAAAACCCTAAACGACTAGCTTCAAAACGAATTGAATCTCATTTTTTATTTGTTTTAGTAGATTTGTGTTTTTATGTTTGATTTTTACCCAGACTGTATCTGTTCAAAGTTTTTATCGTCGGAAACATATCGTATGAATGTTTAAGATTATAGTGAAACCTTTATGTGGTTTTTGCCTATGTTAAGATATGAATTAAATTTTTGGTAAATAAATAATTTTAAATTAAGCTTAATCGCCTTAATTTAGTTTTATAAATATTGTAAAATGATCATTGTTTAACTACTAAGATGGGAAACTGATGTTTACTAAACTGATTGATTTTTATTGTTAACTACCATACTTGATTACTTCAAGCCGAACAAAGAGGATCGTTTTGCTTAACTTTTATGGTTTGAACTTACTTCAAAACTGTGATTCTTATAAACTTAGAAAACATTGCATAGAAATGGGGATCCTAAATTTCCAGTTTTATCATTAATTCTTTCCTAACGCCTTTTCAAGCGTTCTTAGGCTAAGAGGAGTGGTAACACTCTTAGCACCTTGCCACATAAGCTTTTTGAATGTCACCTTATTTTTCTTTATTTAGCACATAATCTTAGCATTTGGTAGGGAGTGGTAACACTCCTAACATTCTATTTTTTTTCTTTTTCTAATTTAATTAAATTATTTTATTTTAATATACAAACATTTTTATGCACAAATATTAATCAAATCATAGCCAAATTCAAGGACTTAAAATTGATATTAGCTTTATTTCATATAAATACATTAAACTAAGAAGAAAATTAATTACAGCCAAATTCATCAATCAAAAAGTCAAAAAGTTTTGAAATAAGACAACAATCTATCACATGAATATAATATAAAATGAATAAAAAGCAAAATGAGCCATCATATCTCATAGCTATTGATCATGCAAGGACTTACAAATGATATTAGCTATTCTTCGAGAGCCATTTACTTTACCATGATAAAAACATATTTGTGTGATTTGTGTCACAGTGAAGAAAAATAATTTAAGAATCATGGCAAAGAACAAAAATGGATGAAAGGATATACTAAAATACATATTCAAATCATATGATTTTCCATCATTGGGCATTCTTTACATTATTATAACAAAGCACAACAAAAACATATTTTCTCACCATTTTTTTTCAATAGTAGACAAAGGTAAAAAAAAAAAAAAAGAATGAGACATGATTAATCAACTAGAGTGATGGTATCGCAGAACAAAAAAGTTTATATTGGGGAAGCATTCATCCCAACAGGCAATTGAAGAAAAAAAAGAATGAAACATGGTTAATCAACTCTAGTGCAGACTTATCCCGAATGTCCATCTGTAGCAAATGTATAACATTCAAACCAAGCATATTGATATAATCAACCCAATTTCCTAAAAGATCAAACTCACTTTCATGCTGAATACCAACATAAGACAATGAATTTATAGCGAAATTGGAAACTCTATATCCTAAATTTTGATTGATCCTGGATTTAAAAAAACTCAAAGGCTAATCTTTTCACAAGTAAAACGAGATGCAAAAGCAAACTTTACAGTTAAATTAAGCATCTGATTGAAGAAATAAATAGTTAAGCAAGTAGTGAAAGGGGACACGAAATAGGAAGAAGAATAACATAAATTTTCCAAAATACCGATGATTAATAGCAAAGAGTAAGAGACTAGGGATCATACTTGATGATTGTCCATTCTTTCTGGAGACACCAAATAGGAAGAAGAATAACAATATAACACAATTCATCAATAACCTCCTCTATTAACCCAACTAAAATCACCAAATACTGAAATGTCTTAAAACAAATGCAATTTAAGACTCAATTAATCCAATCCAGTGAACCAATACGTGCAGTTCAATCATTTAAATAACAAAACTAACCTTTGAGCATGAATCCCCTTCATGTGCCCTAATCCCATCGGACGAAGCTAGGGTTTTCACGTTTATCAAATATTTGGGAACTCAGAGAAAAAACACTTGGAAAAGATACGGACTGATTCCGATGCAGAGTGAGTGAAGACGAAGAAGAAGAAGAAGAAGAAAGAGGAGGACGAGAAGAAGCACACGAGAGAAACGATTACAATAACGGTAAAAACCCACTCCCACCAATCAAATTTGTTCCTCGCCATCTCTCTCTTCTCGCCAGAAGTTTAGCGCGTCTCCGGTGGCGACCCCCCTAGCGAGCGCTAGGGGGCGGTGTTCATGGCTCGTTAGCGAGCATAGCGAGTGGGCTTAAAATCCCCACTCCGCTTAGCCTTAGTCATGTCAAGTATGCAAGAGGTTAATCCTAACAACTAATATAACTCATTTTATAGCGTTCTCCCATCAAACTAGATATATTTATGCTTGTGCCTTTTAAGGGTAGTTTGCTGTTCAATGTTAATAAATTTCCAGTTTTATCAGTCTTTCCTAACGCCTTTTCAAGCCTTCTTAGTCAGGTATGCAAGAGGTTAATATTCCTAACAACTACTATAACTCATTTTATAGCGTTCTCCCATCAAACTAGCTATATTTATGCTCGTGCCTTTTAAGGGTAGTTTGTTGTTCAATGTTAGAGCATATGAGAGCTTTTTTTTATAGATTTTTACTATTTGGTTGAGTTGTTTCTTACTAATTTTTATTGAGTCAACTTTAATATGTCATTTTATCTCTTTGATTTAGTGTGAGTATTTATAAAAGCAATGTATTATATTATATTTCATTATAACAAAATCTCATAAATGGTCCATGTGGTTTCCCAAAATCTGAGATGTAGTCCCTAAGTTTAAAATACATTGTAGATGGTCCATGTGGTTTCAAAACTTTTAACAAATTGTAACGTCTCATTTTCACAACAAAATTTTTTTATTTTATTTAAGTAAAGCTTCCCATTTATAAATACATTTTGAAGAAAACTGTTTATTCCAAATATATTTATTGAAAATCAGAGTAATATTAAAGCGTGAAATCTTCATTGTTGCTGATGAATGTGTACAGTCATGTCTTCGTCTTCCCATGACGACCGATGATATCTGAAACAATAAACAACTGAGTAAGCACAAAGCATAGTAAGTTTCCTCCAAAATACCCCATACGATAAACATACAAGCAAGAATCGGGTCCATTCAGCCATCGGGCTGGAATACCTAGGGTTTGTTGGCCTACCGCCTCAACCCAATCGCTCCTCCCGAGCCTTCGTGTCTTCGGCTTACAGCCGGTTCGCACCGGGTATCTTGGCCTATAGCACAAAGCAGGACCATCTCAACCTACTATCACCATATGTTGACATATAAACAATCAAGGTTCAAGTAGGCACATAATACAGGAAAACATTAATCATACAACTCACTACCACCTACTAGTCATACTGTCCCGTTACCAGCTAACCTCCATGAAATGCGTAACCGTAAGTAACCAGAGATAGTCACCCGAACAGATGATCCTACTCTATAGCCACAACCAAACGAGGAACAAACGAGGAACAGGTAAGAAAGCCTAGATCAAGAGTTCTTAGGCTATCTTAAATGACTATATACAGTCCCTATGACATCCTTCTACTAAAGATAACCAAAACAGTGGGTCGGCATTGTTTCCTTTGACCCACGGGTACAATGAGGCGAAACTCACTTGAATCGAAGAACCTTGAAAGACTACGATATGCTCCCTTCTGTACTGCTTGCTCCCGTGAATCCACTAACACTAGATTCAGATAAAATCTTAATCAATGACCCAAAATCCTCAAGTTTGACCAAAGATCAAACTTGATGAAAAAGTCAACGGTCAACGGAGGTCAACAAAAGTCAAAGTCCAAGGCAGTTGAGTACGCCCAATGTACTCAGTGTACGCAGCCTGACCCTATTCCTTCATTAAGTACTTAATTCCTTAATGACTTTTCATTCAAACTCAGATCTAGCCTCAAAACATTGTCTTAAGTCATAAAGTTTTCACCTTTATGACTTTCCCTAGGGAAGGTCCAAAAGCTAAA